TATACCTTGTCGCGGAGTGACCTCGCGCGCAGGAGACATAGGAAGGCCTCCCTGCTCACCCTGCCCTCCCCGAAGAGGGCGCAACCTCCAGAGAAGGCCGTATATATTTGTATATACAGTACCCTCTGAAGGGGGCTCTGTATGTGCAACCTCCGAAGATGCCTTTATTCGCCCTCCGCAGAGGGCTCTGTACGCACAACCTCCGAAGAGGCCTTCCGAAGAGGGCTATATATACCCTCCGAACAAAAACATATACTCCGACGAAGAAGGTGCCCTCCGAAGAGGGTTGGCGCGCGGTGACAGTGGCTGGCATCTGCGTGTCTGGGGAGGATCGCCCTCACGGCAAGGCTGCGCTCCGTCGGAGTTATCATGCCCAAGCGCCAGGCGCGGAAGAATATAGCTTCTGCCCGCAGGCAGATTTGGATCCATGCACTTTGTTCCAATCTTCCTCGCTCATGTATTCGTATATGCGGATGTAGTCCTGCATGCTCCGTCGGCTCATGGCGCCCCACCCACATTCGAGCCAGAAAAGCTCTGAAATGTGAGAACTCACAATTAATAGAAAATATATGAAAAAAGCTGAAAACATATGAAAAAACAAGCCGCGCTAACTTCTCTATCTTCTTTATCTTCTACCGTTCGTTTTTGTAGAAGTTAAAACATAAGTTAGTATCTTCACCTTGACAATCAGTTAACTTCCCTAACTACCGTTGTAACTTCCATAAGTGTTCTACAAGTTAGTGAAGTTACAACCCTAAGTTAATCGTGTTATAACATACGTTAATCAAGTTCTAACTATAGTTATAATTTAGCGATCCTCCTCGTGGGGCACTCGAAAGAAAATCACCGGCATCTGGGTCTTGGTAGCCGATGAGGACGATTCTTCCTTTCGCACTGCCGCTCTCCTTCCAGGTCAGGACCCATCGCACGCGGATCAGGCGATCCTTGGGAACGGGTCCAAACACTCGCTTCACAGTGGATTGAGCCATCCACTGAGTCACCTCGTTCTTGGCAACCTGGAACTCCTTCTTCTGCTAGGGGTCAACTCACGCCATTTCACCTCCACGCCCTTGATCTTCTTGGCGTAGTAGCGCTAGAAACTCCGGGTCATCTTCATCGACGAAGTAGGAGCTCGAACGCAAAGCCTCATCACCAGACACTCCAAGCTCCTGGCCGCGCTTCTTGAACATCGGCTGCTCAAAGACTTCTCCAGTTGGTCGTCCACGCTGAATTAATGGCGGGCGAAAACCGGGGATCGGTCAAACACCGATCAAGATCTACGCGAGGCCGAGGTCCTACCGGGATCATGCCCCGAAGTCCTTTCTTTTCCATTCTTGGAAGCTCGGTCTCACGGTGCGCCTCTCCACCGCCAGCTTCTTTTTGACTAGGTTCTTTTGAAGCCTTGCGGGCATCTTCTGGGGCCCTTCTCGATTGTTTGGCATCTTCTCGGGCCAAGCTCCTAGGCTTGAAAGCACGCATAGGCCTGCTGTGCGTTGAACCTCACCCTGAGCGTCGAATCTTGATCCTAATCAATAAACTTTAATGCTGATTGATTTACAAACAAAATCAATATTTTTGAACTGTTTTTTTGATTTCCATATCATTATTTTTGGAAGCCCATCAAAATCAATATGCAAAATCAAAAAATAAACCAAAAGGGAAATCAATAAACTCAATATACCCTGAAAGCTAGCAGGCGCCTTTTTCCTTTCAGACAAGCTAGTCTGGACAGGCCTTTTGCAAGTCCACTGACCTTTTTCAAGGTCTAGGCATGCAATTCCTTTTTCAAGGAGCTTGCAAGGGGAATGCAAGTCCACCGACCTTTTTCATGGTCTAGCCACGCAATTCCTTTTTCAAGGAGCTTGCAAGGGGAGTTGCCCCTTTTCAAGGTTCAATGTTTCTCCTTGGGAGCGACCTTTGCACTCACCCTTGTTGAAGACACCCCAGGACTTACAGAAGACGTGAGAATGCTCATCTTCCCAACAAAGTCTTCTGAGGAGAAAGTCCAGTGTGTCTTTGGGCTTAAGAATTTTGCATTCTCAACTAGTTGAAAAGTGTGATGTTTCATCACAATGTGGAAGAGGGATCTCCCTTTTTCAAGGGCCCAAGCAGAGAGAGAGAGAGAGCTATACTTTTTCAAGAAGCTCTCTCCAGCTTCATGGCTTTGAGCCACTCCCCATTAGTCAAGAAGACATCTCCTTGATCAAACAGGTCAGTGAGCTTTGCCATGTCTTCCACTGCTTGCAACATAGTTGCTTCATGCTCTTTTTCAAGAGACACAAGATTCTGGAGGACAGGTGCAAAAGCCTGCAGAAACCATTTGGTCTCTGAGGCCTTGAGATCCAATTGAGCCATGCTTTTGTGGGGCTCCTTTGGGTTGCACAGCATGCTCAAGCGCAGGTTGGTGACCCTGGTAGGTGTCTCCTGCGCAACATATTCTTTCTGCGCAGCTTCAAAGATTGAACCCAATCTTTGTTCTGGAGACACCTTCTGGGTTTTTCCAACTCCATCATAATATTAAAATAATGGACGCAACTACCAAGAAGGTGCCCAAGCACCCCCTTGGTAAAGAGGATGCGCAAGCAGTCTCCTCGAACCATTTTAGCGCTCAAGCGTGGAATCACTCCTGGGAATAGCTTATGGGCGCTCTTAGGGTTTGCCAAAGCCTCCTCATTGGAGATTCTCTTCCAGGCTTTGATGAGGGGGAGCATCTGGTGCATAGCTTTGGGTTGACAGCACTGTTCCTGCTCAAATGCTCATACCCCTTCATGTCCATCACCAGATCTTCATGGTCACAAAGGACCTTATACAGCAAACCTTGATCAATCAAAGGTTTACTGAAATGCCTAGCCCCTCCTCTGCCAGACATACCTTTTTCAAGGTAGTTGTGGGTTTTCCTTTGTTTAGGAACTTACCTTTTTCAAGGTTGAGGGCTTTCCCTATAGAGCTTTATGCAGAGCGCCTTTTGAGCCAAAACTTCAAGCAGCATGCACCCCCAAAATCAATATTTGGGAACAAACAGAAAATCAATATAAAATCTGATTGTTTTTAAAACTTTTAGAGCTTATAAAAATCCAAAAATAGAATCAATCAAATCAATTTTTCAATCAAATCCAAATCAATCAAAAAAACAGAAGTTGATTGATCAGAATCAAGAGTCAATGCTCAGGGCAACTTCAAGTCGCTTGCCATTGAGCTTCCGGGCACGGCCGAGGAAGTCCGCCATGGGTCATCATAGCCACGGTCGTGAAAGCGACATTGGTAGGGTGTGTACCCTTCCACACACTCCATCTGATTGTGGGTCTGGCAGGCCTGGATGACCGCTTGCCATGGTGTGACGTTCTCACCTTGCAAGATCTTCTTGACCACCTGCTTGACTGTCTGGACGCTTCGCTCAACGAGTCCGGCTTGTCCATGTGACTCGGCAGCGATGGGAAACACTTCAATGCCTCGCTCTTGGCACCATTCCTGGGGAGCCATTTGATCACTAAAACTGCGATCAAACAGCTCTCGACCCTATTTTGTAAAGCTTTGATGCCATTGCCCGTTTTCACGGCCATTTGGTTTTTTCACGGCTTCAACTCCTTGAGTTCACGTTTTTCACACCTTTTCGCGGCCAAGAGCCGCTTCTTTTTCACGTCCAAACGCACACTTGTTCACGGCCTTACCGGCTTTTCCACGGCCAAATAACTTTTTCCTGCGCTGCCGTAGGTCGGGATGTAGCTGATGCGAAGGCGGCGTGTGTTGCAGACCACCCACTTGGCGAACTTGTTCCAGCCGGAGAGGGATCCTCGGCCTTCCTTCGTGGGAACACGCTGTCCCCAACATGGAAAGCCACCGTCCTGGGATCTCGAGGGTCCGGGCCCTCCTCCCTGTTGTAGTCGTAGCGTTCGCTGGACGGGCATAGGCGAATTGGTCTGCTTCGCTCGGTTCATGTCCGACGGGTAGCCGTGGGACTGTGGTTGAGACATGAAAGGAAGCGATGAGGGAAGCGGCAGCAAACGTAAAAATGCACGGCCGAGTTGGCATACTTGAGCCGGAAGCGCTGTCCGTAGGAGGTGTTGTCGTGGTTGATGGGCCCACATGGAATGAACCTTGAGGTGAACGTGAGAGGCCATTTGCTTGCATGACTGCATCTGAAACCAACTCTTCATCTTCACAGCTCTGCAAAACATCGTGATCATGATGCGCGTGAAAAGGTGTGGTTTCGGAAACATCACTCAAACAAGGCGAGGTACCAGTCTTCGGTCAGATCAAGGAGCAGGTTCTTGTTGAGTCCCCGCTTGGGAGGGATCCATTCCTCAGGACTCCGGATCCAGGCCTGAAAACAAATGCTCTCCTTCGCAAAAATCAATGGTCAGGGTGGCCACAGACAAAAGAGGGAGCACTCCCGGTGCATCTAATGAATGCACACCCAAAGCAAAGGCTTGTCCTTTGGCAAATTGAGGCAGGCCATTGCCAAAGCGAAACCGTTTCTGCTGGGTGTCCATGTTTGCGGACTCGGATGTCCATGATCTGCAAAGCCTCTAGGGAAGCAATGGAGTCGGTGGCTCCACTGTCTATCACGGCATGTCCTGGAAACTCAGTCGCCAAGGTGGCCAAAATAGCCGAGGGGCTCGCATCTTCATCAGCAAGTTCCACCACAGCAGCCAGATTCAGCGAGCCTGCGCAGTTGAAATGCACATTGACGATGTCGAGAGGCATGAATGCGCTGTAAATAGCAACGAATTAGCCGCACACGCCCGCACGGAACAGCGATCTAAGCACCCCTGCCTTTCCCCTACCGTAAGAACCCCTAGTGTGACCACACTGTTTGGGGAAAAACTTTCTTTCACCCTTTGCCGATGTCTCCTCCCAATGTCTCGTTCCCGCCTGTCACTTCAGTACCCTCGGGGATCCCAACCAGCCACTACGTCCCCAGCATATTGTAAACATTTCCCCCACAGTTACAAAAGAATTCCCCCCCGCCTTCAAACCTATTAGCGAAAACCTCCAACCTACTAAGAATTCATGTTCCTAGTGGCGATGCCCTTTGTTCCCAGTAGCGTCCGACCGCTCCTTGCCGTTCCAAGTTGCTGTGGTGGCAAAGGTTCCGTAATGGGCACTGTGAAGTTCAGCGTGTGCTCTTCTTCGGCCCCTCTCTCCTGTAAGACAAACATCTCCTGCGCGAGAACGGAAAAAAACAAGAAACCAGTTTGCAAACGTCGGAACTTTAAAGAAAAAAACAACGCAGAGTTTAAAAATTGTTTCTCCTGGTGCAAGATTTGCTCGCCGTTCACATCCTGCACACATCAAAACCCTCACATTCAGCCCGCGCAAAATCACACCTGAGAAGGGAGGAGGCGAAAGCCAGCTTCTGTAATAATATATAATATTTGTGATAGGGTGAAGACGAAATCGCACGTACTTCAATTTTTTAAGCCACGCATTGAGGCTTGATAACAGTGCTGCCCGAAAAGGACACCCTCAAGCAAGGGGTACCCCATAGGATAGACTTGGATTGCAAGGGTCCGACATCCTTCGACATCCACAGTTCTAGGGGGTGCCCTTTTTCTTCCGGTCAACAGCCCTTTTGGCAATGTCCTCCTAATTGTCCGAACGCTGTCTCTACCAAAGTTTAAAGCTTAGAGGTTCTTACTTGCACAAAGTCTCGCCGTGCTCGATCAGTACGTACACCCACACGTCAAGGTGTCACCCTTGTGGAGGAAACTTCCGTGCTGAGATCAATCTCCCAGTCATCTCCCTCAGAATGAGGCGACCTCGTTCATTGCATTTCCTGTCGCGCAGTCTCCCCTTTCCCGTCCTCTACCCGGACTAATGATCCACTCTTCAGCGTCATTTGTATCACTTGCATCACCAGACCCTAAAACACATACATTTTAACTCTATTTAGGGCCCTCTCTTTCTTTCGCTCTCCCACACCAGGCTCTGGTTCACCGTACCCAACCGGGCGCACTCACTTCGTTCGCCCATCGACCTATCGGCTGGCTTTCGTAATAAATCAAAATAACATAGATGTCAGGAACCGGTTCATGGCCCCGCCGTCGAGGGCTGTGAACACGAGAGACTCTCGAAGAATGTTGAAAAACAACTCTTGAGACGTTCTTCTCGGTTAAACTTTTGCCGTTGGTTGGTACCGCAGAGAACGTTTTCGGGAACTCCAAAGACAAACTTGTGAAACAGCTTGCGCAATCCTATCCTGAGCGTATCCTGTCCGTCATTCTACCGCAAGGGCGATATAAGCTCCACACTCCAAAAATCACGTCGGTTTTTGTAATAGTTTGGCGCAGAAATCAACACAACAAAAAACTACATGGTTGTCGCTTGTCGCAAAAACGGCGCGCGCTTTTGGGAGGGCGAGCGACGCGGAGAGGCACCATCGGTCCCAAACACCAGCTTTCATCAATCCATGCGCTGTTCTGTCGTTCGCACAGGCGAAATCTCTCTTGCAAATCCACTAATGCCTTTTCATTGGCCACCAGTATTGGCGTAACGGAGACCAACAAACTGAGAACTTTGCGGCAAAAGGGTGAGAATCCAATTCTCCAATTCACAACTTGTGCACGGATGTGTCCAATTTACCGGAAAACCGCTCTGACAGTGGGGTGACAAACCGAAACCATCGAAACCTTCCACCCGCCATTCCACATTACCCTTCTGCCATCTTCTGCCATCTTCTGCCCGCTGACTGCACTCTCAAAAGATGCACCCACGGTTACGCGCCAAAGATTGCAATTTTTCGTAACAAAACGTCCGAGACGTCTTCGTCCTCCACGAAGACCCAAAAGGGTTCAGCTCTTCCATGCACCTTTGGATCCCATTGGAAGTCGGGAGTAATGGTCAGCTCCACCATGAGACAAGAGCCTAACAAGAGTGATGGTCAGACTTTCAACTCAAGTGTTTGTTTTCTTTCTTTGGGCCAAACACCTAGTTAATCAACTAGGGTTAAGCTCGCTTCTACTTCACCGAGTCTTCCTCTTTCAGAGCTGAGCCGTTCGCGCGTGATAGGCTGCACATAGGCGCTCAAGTCCAACTTGGGAAACTGATGGACCAATTTGTGGATCGTTTTGCCTAGCAAAAGCAGAACAGCTGCCCTTCGTGCCTTTCTAGGCGCTTTACATGTAAAAATGAAACTTACAAGATAGACAAACAAACTGTCCATACTATCAGAAGTGCAATACACTGAAAGTATTTAACCATGTATATGGACTCGCGCGCTGGCATTCGTTTACATGTTTGTTTGCCCGTGTCTTCTTTGGTCCAACTCTTTGAGCACCAAACCCATCTTGGGAAAGCGAATGAGCTCGCCAATCTCCGAACTACTGAGGTCGTAGTAGCGCTCCCACGCAAAGTCCTGAAAGGGATCGAAACGAAAGTCTCTTGTACAGCTTGTATGAACTTATATATATATATATACCTGAGAAGGGAAGGGATGAAAACCAGCCTCTGGCTTAGCGGGTGCCCTCAGGGCAGGTCCGGGCAAAGACTTGGCGTGCAAGAGGAAGTGATGGGGTAACATCGGGCAAAGATTAATTTCATGGCGCAGCCACACTGATAGGGGGTAGAAATTGAAAGTCGAAGACATAGGTTTGGGAGGGAGGTGCCCTTTTTCGTCCTGGTTCAGGGGCGATTTGGAGGTGAAAAAGGGCACCCCTAAGGAAGTGAGGCGCGCTTGCCGGCGGCGTGTTGCGAAACAGTGAGCAAAGACGGCGGTGGGGGTTCATATGCGAGGCTATGGGTTACGTAGGGTGGGCGAGGATATATATATATATATATAATGTATGTAGGTAGAGTGGACAAAGAGTAGCTGGAAGTGGTGAGGTTGATATTGGAGCGACGTGAGTGCGCAAAATGAAGTGATAGGCTAACATTATGGAAAGAATACGTTTATGGGGTGAAGTTGGCAGCATTCGTTCTCGTGGTGCTGATGATGCACTCTTCGCCGTCAATTACATCACCGGCATCACAGCACCCCTCGAGCCCCCCACCAGGCTCTGGGTTCACCTCTCCGGAATTGGCCACCACGCAACCACTCCCCCCTGTGTTTTGTAGCGTCCTAGGTTCCCCTACTAGGCGCGCCTCGTAGCACCTGTTATTCGTAGATGATTGTATATACTCTTCATTGTAGCATTACTGCTCAATTCACTTTTGGCTCACGACTTTGAAGCCCAATACTGCACTCTGCGCCATATATAAGTGTGCTCGTCGCAGCTCGCACACTTGAGAGTCCACAAGGGGTATTACTTGGTGTCATCGATCAGGTCCAGTGTACTTCACCGCCACTTTGGGCCTCAAAGTGGTAGCGGAGCTTGTGTGCTTCGCGTTGTCCGACATTACGGGCAGGAGACAACCAAGTAGCCCACCTGTCTGAAGAGTAGTGACCATGGTCCAGAAGATACGGACAACGAAACAGAGTATAGTCAGGAAGAGTCGGAACCAGAGGAGGCTTTCGCTGCACAAGGTTCGAGATATCGTTCCCAGCAGTCCAGATCCTCAGGTTGGACATTCCGGACTTATGAAACACAACCAGCGCCAGGTGTCAAAATGACGCGTCATCTGGGTTCGAAATTTGAAGATTTGATTGATGACTGGGTAAACATTATACCACACTTTCCACTGGGAAGCTCGGTCTCTCGTTGAGGGGCGCGTTGGCTGGAAACGCAGAGTGTTGCGGGGGGGGGGCTTGGCGATGGGCAGGTTTGGGGGGGGGGGGGGGGCGGCGTTGCGTGTTTCGGGGACACGTTGCGCCCGCGACACGGTGAATTTGTCAGTTGGGTCGCTCGCTTTAAAGTAGCAAGCAAGAAAGTCATGGAAGCCTGGATAGGCTTATTAGATCTTTCAGCTGTTCCACAGCCAGACGCTTTCAACTTTACTGATATCCTCTCGCAACAGCAATACCTGCTTCTTCAAGGACTTCAAGATCCAAACGAAAGATGAGAAAACGCAGAAAGAGTTCGTACTGAACACACTGATGCCATGAAACAAGCGCACCGTGAAACTTTTCCATTGTCTGACAGTTTGATGTCGCATATTTTCCTAGTTCAGTCCGACTTGAATGAGCAACAAAGAGAAAGGTTGGTAACCAGCATGTCCTTCCGTCAAGTAAGCATGAACAACTATACGTACTTAGCAGTCAAAGGCTTATTCCTTGATCTCTTTCGCGGAACCGCCACAGGAACTGCGATCCTTCGATCCTCTCAGGCACAAAAGGTCCACTTTCCTTGTCCTCGATGAAGGAGACTTGGAGGAAGAGTCCGGACGTTGCGCGGTGGATCAGGAAACAGGCGAAGAAGGATTTGTGAGTTTGTTCTCAGAATCCGATCTTTTGGTGTTAGCAGCTAAAGGAGGATACACCCGCAGAAGAAACCATGGAAGAAGGTTTAGAAGACCGTCTAAAGGCGGCAAAGGTAAAGGCCGCGGAAGAGGCAGAAGATCCGGCTTCACAAGCCGTAGAGGCAAAGGTGCAGGGGCGCACTTTGCAGAGTACCCTGGCAACTCGGGTTTCTATGGAAAAGGCAAGAAAGGAAAGAAAGGCTTCAAGGGAAAAGCTGCATTCAAAGGCAAGGGAAAAAGCAAGCAACAAAACCAGATTCAACAATCAAATGTCGCAACCACCGATGAGCCTTCGTCAGCTCAGTCAGAAACCTGGAGCGCACATGAAGCAAGTTGGTCATGGGACTCATATGGATACCACACAGACCAGTACAACCCCGAAGATGTCTGGCAGGCAAGTGAAGCCACTTGGCAACAATGGACGTATTACGCGGACGGACAGCACAGACCCAGCCTCAACCTCAGAAAACGGCAGTGAATGCTTCGCACACCAATCACTTTCCACAATTCTTGTTGACATGCATGGCAACTGACTCAGTCAGCATACAAAGTGGAGTGGTTCAAATCAATGACACAGTTGTCAGTCAAGACCTTCTGCACATGACAACACATCTGTCCGCTGACTCACTGGGCCATTCATCAATTATGAACAAACATTGTTGTCAAATAAATACAAACACTTGAGAATCACATTCTACATAGCTTCGCAATGTGTAATGTAGACAGGTCACACACCTTTTTAAGCCACCCTCACATCATGTCTCTAAGGAGTCTATCTTGACAAACTGCCACAGAGATCTTCAGCGCTACCATCAGTCGCAGACAGTGACCTTCAGTGCTTCTGCCACCCCTGCTCACGCACTGGCGCCCATGCCACTGGTGCCCAGGCCACTGGTGCTCATGCCACTGATTCGACTGTTGGCAGTCGTCTTGCCATGGCCTCCCTCTTTTTTGGCCCTTCCCTTCTCATTTTTCGTAGCGCGGGCAGCCAAGAAATCTGGCAAAGTCTGAAGCTTCGATAACGCTTGAGGAATGTGCACCTTGCGCCCAGCTCGGGTGTGCAACGTGTCTTCAAACCAGACAAACAGTCTGAATCCCACATTACGCTCCATTTCCCGACCATCCAATCGCCAATTCTGCAGCATTTCTTTGCTTTTGAAGTCAAATTCAAGCTCAACATTCTCAGGCTCAAATGCCTCAAGGCCAGCAGACTGTTGCAGCTTGGCGAGAATCCAGTCTTGCCACTGAAGCCAGTTCTCCAGGATGAAGGTTGTAATGTCATCAATCACAACAGACACAGTGTGACCTTCACAATTAAAGCGCTTGAAAACATAGAACTTCCAGCATTTGTCATCTCGGCTGCAATGGTACGTCGAGAGAAACAGAATATGTGTGAAGACATCACGAAGAGACATGGAACTGCACACGGCTTTCATCTTGTTCAAAACCTCTGTCAGTTCCACATTCTCACCCTGGGCAATGACCAGCTCTTGCTCCAGATTGATGTTGAACTTCTTGAGGACGTTGCGCAACTTTGGAAGTTTTTTGTGTGTGTCTCCAGTGGTCCGGCGGACTCACTCGCTCTTCAAATGCTTCCAAATGCTTTTGGCTAACAAAGCCATCCTGTTTCAGTCTGTTCATAACTGTCACCATTGACTTGTTGAAGCATTTCATGGCTCCCACAACCATCAGAAAACAGAACCGACTCTTAAATCTCGGCTTCCTTCTCGGATCTTCCGGGTCCTGAAGATCGACTTTGACTGGGCGAGCGTTCACTCGCAATAGTTCATTGGGTTGGTCACTTTGGTCGACACGAAACTCATTTTGATCAATTTTCTCACATAAGCCATGAACCTGGAAAGCGCCGCATTCTCGTCATTTTCATCCAAGGCCTCAAGCCCGGGCTCCTTGTTCTCAGGTCCCTCCTCATCAGCATCATAGTCAGCCTCGAAGTCTGGATCCCAGGGATCTACTACTTCATGGGCCCATTCACAAACAACTGCTGATATCTGTGGCGCAGTGCCCATCGACATAGCCTGCTCTGAGGTCATGTCTGAGTCTGGCACTGACTTCTGTGACACAGTGCCCATAAGCTGTGAAGACTGATCGCCATTCTCCTCTTGTGGCACTGTGCCCCTCAGTCCCCATCTCCCTTGCTGCTGATTCTCATTCTCCACCTCTTCACATGTACTGGGCCAGTGACTTCGCTCAGGGGGGAAGGCCGTCGTCTCATTGTTTGGCTGCACTTTGGTGGGTGCTTGACAGTTGCATTGGGAAGTGGTGGCCAGCTCTCCACCCTCTCTTGCACTGAACTGTGAGGCTGATGGTTTTGTGTGACTTGCTGACAAGCGATTCTTGCGTAGTTCTCCACCTCTCTCACACTTTGCACAAAGGCATGAGCAGTCTCACGACGGTCGGAAAAAATTCGCATCAATTTTCACCTTCTTAACCAGCCTCTCAAGTTCATTCCTAAACACTGGGTTGTGGAGTTGTGAGCACCTGTCCAACAATCCTTCAAGGTGTTGCCTACATTTGTTTATACCCCCTTTGCCATGGTGAAGCATCCAAAGTCCACCCGCGTCCACCACAACAAAGTCAAAGTCCTCATCGGGACCAACAGGCCACCGGCAAGGAACAATGTTCCCACCACGACAATCCGTGTAGATTCCTCCGAGTTTCTGAATGCTTTCAATAATTATCTCAACTGACCAAATCAGGTACTGAAGCCACATTTTTTCAGAATACACTCCTCGCAAAGTCGTGTCTTGGCTCACTTGAGCAATCACATCCAGCATATTCACTCCAGGCCCGCAACAGGTTGTCAGCAACACCATTGCGTTCATGTGGCCGCGCTCCCGAAGAGCATTGCGCCTGAGAAAAACGTTGAGTGGCTTTGGCAATTTGGCTTTCTCGACACCCTTTCTTTAGCCATGCATCACGTTGCTCCATAGCAACACAAAAAAGATGCTTTGGCGCTTGGCAAGGACTCATACGATACGTTGCTGCGCTGCCCGTAAAATA